CTCTCCTTTACACCCAAGAGTGACTAGAAGCTAATTTCTCCTTACAATATCACCCCTGAATGACACATTACTTTAACAGTAACAGTAATAATGGAAGTGATCATCAACTAAAGAAGCTCGTTATTATTAAACAAATTCCCCTTGCCAGCACCTTAGGAAATGTGTAGAGAACAGTAGCTCAATGGATAGAGCACTGGACTGTTGTGTGGGAGGTAAAGGGTTCGAGCTCCAGCAAGACCAACACTCAGGGTCTTAAAATAATTGAGAAGAATTTGCTACTTTTCTATAGCATCAAGAAAGGTTAGATAATCTAGTCTTCTCAGATAGGGATGAATAAATGGAGGTGCTGTCTCCTGCAGGGTTGGGTTAGGAGATATTAATTTCCCACATACTGCGTGATGGATGTCCTCCCGTGGGGTGGGATATTGGAGCCTCGCTCTGTTGTGCGACCCTAACCACACTCTGGTGAAAGTGATTAAATAAATAAATAAATAGATACTGATGTTTGGGTGCAAATTTTTTAATGCCATCATATGTAATAATAAATAATTGGTGGGCTATGATGTCATCAGTAGCTTGTTTATTTTATAATTTCTCCAGGATTTACATCTGAACAGAGTTGTTGTCAAAGAGTCAGCAACGTCAAACACCCCAGAACCTGTAGATCCTCACCACAGACATCCCAAACAAACAAAAGTTAAGTCATATGATCTCAGTGTGACAGATAAGTTCTGGGGTTTGCATAAAGGAAGGTGAGTCAGACATGTGCCATCTATGTATCATTTTTTGAACCTTCTAACTTCCAGACATGATTAATATCTAACTTCTCTCTTTATTATCTATAATTCTCATACACTATCCAGGAAAAAGGTAATGAGAATACTTAAAGTTATCAGGTTGAAGTTGTTATCTTAATCTAACACCAAATTGTTGTAACAAATTTCCAAGGAAATGTCCAGCAGCTAAAGGGAGAATTACCAATCAGATGTTGGGGGTTAAAGGGTTTTAAAACATCTTTCTTATTCCCCCTTTACTACTTTCAGGTGCTTTTGTTGAATCAGGTGAATATTTTAGTTGTGAAATGAGCACCAAAGAATTTCAAGCATTATCATCCATAATTGAAATTAAAGCAGCTAATCACTAATTTTTTTTTTCAACAAGCAGGCTATGTTTTAAGTGATGTAGTGATTTTATTTTTCGATTTGTGAGCCCTTTTTCAAGTAAATTTCAATTATTTGATGCCATAACCTACAATTTATGCTGATTCATGTTCTTCTATTTGTGTTTGTTTTTGTAGTCCTTTCCCGACAGTGGCAGAGTCAATTCAGAAAGAACTTGATGAATACAGAGCTTCTGAAGAGGAAGTAAAGAGACTGAAAAATGTCATGGTAGGACATAGAGTTTGTATATCAAAAGATAATTTGTGCTTCTATGTGATGACTGTACTTGAAATATAATGTCAGGTGAAGTCAGCAACAGAGCCAAATGGCTCATCTGCAAGGAGCTCATCATGGTTTCCATAGCATGAAGTGACCAAGGAGTATTGCTACTGCCCCCGTGTTTGAGAAGATAACCAACCACAAGTTATGCAACCCTCCCTTCCCGCCTCCCCCCACCCTCGTCGCAACATTTTGTTGGACTTCCTTGAAAATTCGCTGATACCCATTTGGGCACTGTCGGTGTAAACGCAAGGACCAAACCAGCTCTTAAAACTTGAACTGGGAGTCTAGTGCACTAACTTATAACTGGTCAAGACACCTGAAAGTCATCTCGCCCTAAGTCATGTCACTCAAAACCAGAGTCATGTCACCTGAAACTTTCAGTCATGTCACCCAAAAATCCTGAGTCATGTTACACGAAAGAAGCAATCACTTGAAAGATCAGACTTCCCTTGCTAACTTAAAGCTACTACTTAACAATTGGTTCATACTTTCAGCTGTGCACTATCGAGTTATGGAGCAAGCGGGAAGTTTGGAGAGCACAAAAAAAGCGTAAGAATTACCCGAAGTAATAGCCTCGGGCAACTGTAGCTTCTTGAGTGCTCTCCAAACTTCCCACGTGCTCCATAACTCGATAGTGCACAGCTGAAAGCATGAACCAATTGTTTTAGAACATAGCCGGTGGAATTGTGCATCAAATCCGACGCGAAAAACGGACAACAATATCAAATTGAAGCGAATCGTGACGGCGCTGATGCCGAGTCTTTTTCTGTCGTTTTTCTCTTTTTCTGCCTTTAATAATTCTAGCCCAAGGAAAAAGGTCGAAAAATTGTCTTCGTTTTGGGACCAGTAGGCCGAGTCTCTGTTTGCATCCATTATTGTCGCGACATATATTATTTTTTCCCGCGCTAACAATATTCGCTCGCACGAAAAAAAAAAATTTCTGGCGACGCGATTTGCTGACGCTATCAGCGTGCACTATCGGGATTTTGAGCACGCTTAAGTACACTGAATTTGATTTGCGCGGCTCTGCTAGCTATGTTCTAAAAGTTTGGAGACTCTAGTATCTATTCTACAGACCTGACTATGGGCCGAATAAACCATCGACCTATTGACCAACCCACCAGTCAGTTTACCTAAAAAAAATGTTGTGTATGGATCGAGTTCTGCAAAGTTACAGATCGCTGATCATTTTTGTCGTACCTCACAGATGTAAATGAATGTAATACAGGAGTCCACTCTTGTGAACATAAGTGCCACAACACACCTGGCTCTTATGGCTGTTCATGTTTCTATGGTTACAAACAAAGGGCCGACATGCGAACCTGTGAAGGTAGGTTATGCTATGCAAATGTTACATTAGAACAAATGTAGCTCATAAATGGTTGTTTTCAGAGTCCATCAGCGAGTACGAGACCTCGAAATAAATGTTATTGAGCAATGGGTACAAAAGAATTAGGCCTCCAGGAATGTGTAGACATCTGCAATTACCGAGCTTTGAAAATTTTTCCCCTCGCCCTTATTTAGGACTTCCTTGTGAGAATATAAAAGCCCCACCTCATGGTCACATGACCTGCAGCGGATTTGTCACAAATGAGACATGTTTGTTTACGTGCGAGGATGGATATGAAATGCAAGGTTCGGAGAAAAGAACTTGCCTCAATTCTTCAAAGTGGGACGGACAGCAAACATCCTGCAAAGGTAACAACAATGATAATAATAATAATAATAATAATAATAATAATAATAATTTAGCAATGGACATTCCACTTGGTGGCTCTTCTTGTCCATTGTTTTCAGATTGAATTGGAATTTGGAATGTTGTTTTTTGCAGAGGGAAGAAAACCTGAGGACTTGGAGAAAAACCCTGGGAACAAGGACAAGAACCAACAACAAACTCAACCCACATGTGAAACCAGGTCCGGGAATCTAACTCAGGCCACAGTGGTGGGAGGCAAGTGCTCTCACCGCTGCGCCATCCCTGCTCCCCACATATGCATCAGTTTCTTTTCTTCATAAGGCCAGCACGTCAGCCGACAGTCGGCTGGTAGAATCGGATTCTTTGCCTTTACTGCTGTGTCTACACTCAGATCCAGCTATTTGCACCACCAAGTTCACAGGCACCTTCCTTACACTCATCTGCTGTCAGCAAACCTAACACTTTGAATTCCACTTATAGTGGAAAAGGTCCCTTGAGAAACTTGAATTAATACATATTGTAAAGGTTTGAAGTTGTGATAAAGAGTTAATATTCTTC